GGTGTAGTGTAGCACTGTTGAAACATACAACGTTCCTCTAGTTCTTTAATGCTTCTCCCCCCTTCCCCCACACCATCATGACCCCAATTCTACCTTACAAATCCGGCTAGGCCAGAGGATGTACACAGATACAGTTCAGAGCTGGAAACATAGGGAATCCAGGACAGATAAACTCCTTAGGACCAATAATGAGAGTAGCAATACCAGGAGGGTAAGGGGAATGTGGGGGTAGGAAGGGGGAACCAATCACAATAATCTACATATAACCCCCTTCCAGGGGGACAGACAACAGCAAAGTGGGTGAAGGGAGACATTGGTCAGCATAAGGCATGAAAAAAAATTATAAATTATCAAGGGTTCATGAAGGTGGGAGGGAAAATGAGCTGCTACCAGGAGTTCAAGTAGAATGAAAATATTTTGAAAATGATGACAATAAATGCACAAGTGTGCTTGACACAATGGATGGAAATGATTTTTAAAAGAAAGGTATTTGTACAAAATCATAAATCCTTATTAAACAGAATGATTAAAACGTGCAGTTAATGTTTCTCAACATGTCCTCCATTTAGGTCTCTCCTGAAGGTGATGGCTCCATGTCTCTATTCCTTCCCCCAAGATTCCTACGCTCTTCAGTGTGCCCTGCAGCAATAGTGGTGGCCTCCATGAGGGGCTCAAAATGTGTCCTTGGGTTCAAGGAACAGAAAAATCCTAATGGGCAAGGCTAAGGCTATAGGGTGGATGGGGCAAGGTTTCCCAGTGAAATTCTTACAGAACAGGCCCTGCCACCCGCTTAGGCACTGAACCGTGCATTGTTGAAATGGGAAGACATCCTCAACACTACTCTTGTTTCTCATCAATCGGTTTTCCATTTTCTTAAAACTACTTCCTAGTAAACCAGGGTAATTGACCTGCGTCCTTCAAGAAAATCTCAGAGTGTCCAGAACCTTTGGAGCTGACCTTTCTGCCTTGAATATTACTGATCCTGGACATCCTGTCAGAAGCCACTGTTTGAGTTTTTTTTCCCCATTAGGAAGCATGTTTATTATTAATATTTAATCATTTTATTGGGGGCTCGTACAACTCTTATCACCATCCATCCATCCATCCAT